GGACACTACAACCATCTTCCCTTCCAAGTAGTATACCTATCACAATTCTCCCTCTTTATCAAGGCAGAACAAGTTTTTTAAATTAAATAGACCCTAGGCAAAGAATCTCACAATACTTAAGTAGAATATTTAGACACTCAAATTCTGTCTTTTTTATAAGTTATAGAGATAAGAAGTTCTTTATCTACCAACAACTTGTGTCTAGAGAGGCTAATTCGCCGGGGCTGGGCCTGCGCGCCCGTCGCTTCCGAGACGCCGGAAGTGCGCGGCACCCGGGCGGTCACGGGACCCCACGCAGCCAATCCTCGCGCAGCCAGGTTGCCGAGCAATGCGGGCGCCGCGTCCGCGCCCTACGGGAGCCTGCGCCGAGGTCTCCGGCTTCCGCTCGAGGGCCCGGCTGCGCCTCGTCACTGGCGCCTCGCGCAGCCGGAGCGCTCGGAGCCGGCCGATCGCCTGCACCCGCTGCGGGAACGCGCCTCCAGGACGGCCGGAAGGGCGCCCGCCCACCGGAAGGCCGAAGAGCGGGGTCTCGCCGCACGGCTCTCGATAAAGGAGCGATGTGAGCGTAGTCAGCGCCGGCGGCCGAGCGCGCGGGGAAGGGGCGCGTGCCACGCTCTTTGCCGCCGCCCCGCCCTCGGCGCCGCGTCCCGCTTCGCCGTGGCCTGTGCGAGGGCGTCGGGCAGAGCCCACCCTCCCGACCTGGGAGCCCCGCCCCGGGCACGCGGCTGGCGGGCACGCGGCCCTTCGTCCCCGAAGACGGCGCCGCCTTGGTCCAGGCCCCGCTGTGCCTGCCGCTCGACTCGGGTTGGCTTCACCTGGGTTCCCAGCAACTGGGACGTGCCCGGGTTTGAGGCAGCCGAGGTCCCCAGGTCTTTCCCACGCAGGCTGTCGGGACAGCCTTCCACCCCTTCCCGCGTTCTGTGTCGGGCGTTATTCATGTCATTCACGGGATTATCCCAGCTTTCCGATTCCTGATTCGGGTTTTCTTCGCCCTCAGAGCACAGGCTTCTCCCTCCGGGACGTACCAGGACGCTGAAGGGATGGAGAGCCAACAATGGGGCCTTATCAGTGGCACCTGAGACTTTCTTCCCTGTGGACGGCAATCCATTATTCAGCACCCGGGCACACAGCTAGAGATCTATCTGATCAGCCGTCGATTCTCCCAGCTGTAATATCCTCTGCCCCATTTTTCTCTCGTGTCCACAAGGCATATCCTTGAGAATTCTTTCAAATTCCTCACAGATATTAAGACAGTCTATGGTTTTGGCGTTCATCTAATGTATCAATCTACGAACATCTTCTAAAAGTGAATTTTTTTCATGACTTAGTACATCCAAGTGGTCTTTGGTTTTCTCCTCATAAAGTATTCACATCACTTATTAAATAATCCTTTCTAGAATCTTCCACAGCTCTTTGATCTGTTGTTTCTGAAGTACACACTTTTATTCTCCCTCCCATCTCTGCCTTTCTGTTCTCCAGAACCCTGCCGATAGTAACAATTACGATTTTGCATCCCAACTTGGAAGTTTCCATCACAGGGATGGTTCAGCCAGGAAAGTCTCAGTGACTGAAGCAGGCCCCTAGCCTCCATCAACTCTTGGGCTCCACCAACCAGTGGCCAAGTCTCCGGCCAGAAATGCAGCAGCCAGCATCACCCACGGCACTCTGAAGTTCTGTTCTGCTTTGTTTGGTTCGAGGCGTAGGAAATGCATTCATTCAAGCCAGGAAGCACTTACTGAATGCACCAGCCAGAATCCACCCTAATGCTTAGGTATGCTACTTTGTTCAGTTGTCACTATGCCAAGGCATCACATGCACATTTTACTGAGAAAACCACAGCTCAGAGAAGATAAGTAACTTGACTAAAGTCAAATAGGCAGAGATTCAAGCCCAGATCTTTTTTGTGCTTTTGCTACATATCTCAGCAGCAGCAAGGCTGACTGTTTGTTTTTGAGTTGAAGTCTCACTCTGTCGCCCAGGCTGGAGTGCAGTGGCATGCTGACAGCCACCACAGCCTCAACCTGCTGGGCTCAGTTGATCCTTCTGCCTCAGCCTTCCAAGTAGCTGGAATTACAGACATGCACCACCACGCCCAGCTATTTTTTTTTATTTATTGTAGAGATGAGGTCTCACCAAGTTGCCCAGGCTAGTCTCGAACCTATCAGCTCAGGTACTCCTCTCACCTCGGTCTCCCAAAGTGCTGGGATTATAGGCGTGACCCACCACGCCCGGCCCAGGGCTGACTCTTAAAAAAGGTTAGCCAGGCACGCAAAAAAAAAGCCGGGCTCAGTGGCTCAGCCTGTAATCCCGTGCCTTTGGGAGGCTGAGGTGAGTGAATTGCCTGAGCCCCCGGGTTCAAGACCCGCCTGGGCAACTTGGTGAGACCTCATCTCTACAATAAATCAAAAATCAGCCGGGCATGGTAGCGCATGCCTGTAATTCCGGCTACTTGGAAGGCTGAGGCGAAAGGATCGCCGGAGCCCAGCAGGTCAAGGCTGCGGTGGCCGGAAGCAGCCGCTGCACTCTAGTCTGGGTGACAGTGAGACTCCAACTCAAAAAAAAAAAAAAAAGTTAATTACTATGAAATCAAGTTTGAAGAAAAAACACCCCACGTGGGTACCCATACGAATGTACAAAGAGATGAGTCTAAAAGAACAAGGAATACTGGCCTGACACATTCACAAACTACACAGCTTCAGTCTCTGCCTTTACAGCACCCCTGACCTCTAAGGAACCTGTCAGCTCCTGGGCTGTGTTGCTGGGGGACAACCTTGCCTTCCACAAGTCTTCTCCAGTCCTCTGTCCTCTGTCTTGTGTCTGAGTCACTCAGAAGTGGGGGTGTTGTCACTGATGGGAGACGCTGCCCGAGTTCTGTGGCCACGTTACAGAGGTCCAGTGGTGACCACCATCTGCCAACAGAAAAAGGCAGGTCAGCTCCTGCCCTGGTTCTGCTGACTCAATCATTTAGAAGCATCAGGGTGCCACTATCTCCTCATTCATCTCGGATTCAATTTCCTTCCAACCAGGTCTGTTCTAAGCTTTCCAGGAGTCAAGAAATTCGTTGAAAGATAACACTCTTTCCTCCCTATGTTAACATTAATCACATCATGTATCC